TAACTGATTTTTATCCTCACCCCTGACACAGCAAAATTCAATTTTGCCTGCATGATTAAGAAGCCTTGAATCACCCTTAAAAGAAAAGTTTAGCTTTAACCTTGGCAGGAGGAGAGGATATTTGCACTAGACCCCACGTTGATTTGGTGCGGGTAAGACTGAGAGGTCACGATGGTGTTTTCAGGCCGTGGGTGGGTGAAGCTGGAGCAGACCCTGCTCTGGCCTCTCCTGGGGTTGGTCACACAGGGTGCTGCTGTGCACCAGCTGCATGKCCAGGAATGGGAAATCCTCTTTCACTACCCTCCATAACCTTTGAGATCTTGGGTTCATGTTGTCACTACGGCTGCCTAAAGTATGGATGGAGCATCAAACTTTGGTCATCAGGCCATTTTATGAGTGCTTAAGCCAACTTCCCTTCCATCCTCTCAGTACTAATCCTGTAAGAATTCAGCCTTTTTCACCTGATACAGTTTAGTTTCACCTGATACAGCTTAGTGCACGGTCCTAAAAAGGAACAGGAAGAAAACTCCAAGTTGTGTGATGCAAAAATTAAATAAAACAGGATTTTAAATGATGGGGGGGGTGAGGAGGGATGCCATTAGGCACAGGTAATTTGATAGTGTGGATCAAAAGATGTTGAGAATGTTTAATGAGCAAGTGCTGAGACAGTAAGAGCTAAGGAACTCCCTAACCCTCTGGTTTCAGTAGGGTGATGTTCAAGCACACAGAAGTGCAAATCAGTAAAGGAATTGTCTTACATGTCTCTCAGCAGCTGTCAGGGTGTTGTTAACTTCAGACTACAGTTATTAGCTTCAGTTTTGCTAGAGGGTACTAATCAAGAACATAGTGTTATGCTGTAACAAGGGATGTCTTAAAATGTTCTTACAACGTCTTTATTAAGATTCAAAGTAATTGAAGCCCAGTTCAAAGAGCCATAACTATTTCTGTAATTTAGGGGAGATTCAACCATGTAAAAATAARGAATCAGAATTTGAAGTGCAGAAATTACAGCTCATAGATTTTAGTCAGGACTTTATGTAAGTCCCCTGGAAATATGTGTTTCTTGCTGGGTGCTGCACATCACTGCATGCCCCTCTCTAGGCATGAAGTTTTATTTTAGTTCTTTTCCCTCTTGCAGTTGCCACATAGCTTGCCTAGTGTGGATGTTGTGTGTGCTGAAATCCATTTGAAAGTCAACATCCTTACAAAGTTTATAATGTCCAGGTTAACACCCTTCACAAAGCATWGTCAAGCTTCTGTCTCTTCCTTTATATATTCTGATGAACATTGGGCAAGGAAAGGATAATTTGAGACTCTGGTTGCTGTGTTTCCAAAGGTGATCAGYCTGATGGATTGTATAAATTGAAATTCCAGTAGTGGCAACTGGAAGAATGGAGACAGTGCCATTTTCCTTCATAGATCTGCAGAAATTATTATCTCTACCTTCAAAAATGAATGAAGGACCATTCAAGTGTCCTGATGTTGGCTACTTTCCTTTCATTAACTGCACTGCCACAAAATACCATGACAAGCAGTCCAGCAGCAATTTGCCATCTGCCCTCACAGATCCTGACTGCAGTTCTGGACAGGGTAGACCAAAGCAGCCTCCCACTCACCTGCCACTGTGCAAGGAAACCTAACTCTGTTAGCAGAGCTACTTGGCCAGTACTGTCTGAACAGCAAGTAACCTAAAGCAGCTGGTATGAGGGAAAAAACCACACCAATCCAAACAACATCACATAGTGTCTGGTCTCATTCTTCATTGGTAAGGTTCTCCAGCATTTCAGATTATATTGTGAAGCCATTTTTACTCCTCTTTTATAGCAGAAAGAGTTTGTAATAGGAGCTGCCTTGTTTTGTGTTCAAAACACAGAAAGTGTTCTCTAAGGGTTTACAAAATAAAGGGACAAAAACTGGTGAAGTTCTATGAAGCATTTCAAACTCACCCATCATTTACTGCACAACTCTGATGAAGAGTGCTAATATAGTTTGCTGTGAAGCATTTAAAACTGTCAAAAAAACTCTCCTAAGCAGGGAAAAACCCTGCAGGATGTCTCCTGCCCTAACTTTCAGCAGCTTCATGTGGGGCCACAGAGAGTGACAAACTCTCTAAAATAAGAATCTTACTGCTAGTGATGGGTGAGTCAATCCAATAATGACTAAAATGTGGGAAATCGTTAGCTACAAAAAACAGTATTAAAACCCCAAAATACTGCTATAAACCAAGCTTCAGCAGGCAGTAAAGTTTTTGTAGCTGAGGAGCAGTAGTAGGATTTATGAGCCAAACACTGATGGAACCTTAAATATAGTGATCCAAGTGGAAGTTATTTAGCTCATATGTAACCCTCCTTCAGGCTCTAAATGCTTTAAATGACAGAAAGAAACACCACGAAAACAGCCTGAGCCATCTTCACTCAGGACCTGTCTTCACTGTGCAAGTTCCATTTGAGTTAGTGCTTTCAGAATAGCCTCTCTGAGCTAGGTTTGAGTGACAGATCWCTCTCCAGAATAACTCTTGACTGTGCTTGCAGTGTCCTGCAGGCCAGCCTGCGATGGCTCTGCCCTGTGCCTGGCAGCAGCAGGCAGCTGRTTCATCCTGCCAGCAGCACAGCTGCTTTCAAAGCTCGCTGTCCCCCTCAGCTCTGCTGCTTTGAGTGCTCCATGGTGGCTCTGTGATGTGTGCTGATAGTAGAGCTCCTTCCCGCTATTCCTGAAATAGTTGATTGTGCCTGTGCTGTGGGCTCAGGCCCACCCAGCAGATCCCYCGGTGCAGCRGCAGCTCSAGCACCAGCAACTCTCTGGCTTAGGTACAATCTTGTTCTGGCTGCTGAAAAGGACCTTTTGRAACAGCACTAATTTAAAGCTGGGGCTATTCATGTGTAGAAAGAGATCACACTGGGAAAAAAATGTGAGTTTAACTCAGGATTTAACCATGCAGGAGTACGAGCCATTCAGCTAATAGTCCTGAAACAGGCTTCCCACAACATAATGGATTCTGAATTGCTCTGCACCTCTGAGTACCAGTTATGCCTGTGAAGAAACCACACAGCAGTGGTGCTCTCAGCTTCACTCAGGTGCTGAGCTGGGACACTGCATTTTAGAACTTGTCATGATCACCTGGGACAGCAAAAAGAGCTTTGAGAAAATGCTGTCAAACTCTGGATAATAACTGATCATTGACATATTTACATCTCACCTAAAATTGGCTATGATGAATAGAAACAAATACATTTTACATGTAGGTTTTAYATCAACATTCATTCATGGTGACATGAATGATCTCATAAGGACYTTTTCTTCACTCATGAATTAAAGATCCCATGCAAACTGATTTTTTTGTGCTCTAACACTATAAGCAGGTTCTTGAGAGAGGTTCCAAATTAATGTTTATATGGCTAGAGAGTAGCAGCTACTATTGCAAAGTAATTACTGCTTTGCCTGACTGACATCTTCAGCAATGCCCTCAGCATGCAAATTCAGTGGAGCTTAATAATGGATTTCTGAAACCAAATGGTTAGAGAYCTGTTTCCCCAGGATGCCATTTAAATGAGTTGTTCATTTGAGATAGTTTTGAAAAAGATTCATGGAGGTGATGAAGCAGAAAATAGAGAGGAAAAGTGCTGAATGACTAGCTGTGATCTGTGATTATTTATATTTTTTATTTTACTTTTTGTTTTAAAGCAAGGTAGGAGTGTGCATTTGAGAGTAGACTTTATTCATGCACACTGCCAATCTTTATCTAAAATCTTTCTACTTGTTTGTATGTTGTACATTTAGTTGTGATTATGCACAGTCTAGTAACACTGTGATACATTTACCGATGCTGCACTTCAAAAGGCTTCTCTAGCTTTAAAAATGCCATTGTCTCTTGCAGGGTATTTGATTTTACATGCTGTGCCTACTATTGTGCTATTCTAAAATGGCTGCAGTGAAATGTCTCTCAAGACTTCTCTGGCTAATAATTCACACAACAAGAGTAAATGAGGAAAAACGTTGACCTTTAGTAAACTATATTATTAAAAAAGGGGGGGTTATTAMATGAAATTAAACATTTTTTGACCATTTTTTGGCATTTAGGAACAACATTTACATTCAAGGGTGACACATACGAGGTCTAGACATATGAACAACTCTGGCAGTTGAGGCTGTATAGGTGACTGAATTTCCTATGATACTTTCTTAGATGTTAAATGGAGCTTTCACATTCTCTGGTGTTGGGACAGAGGTTTTGTGCGCAGATTGGAAAATGTGGAATACTGACTGCATATATAGTACATTCCATTAGCTTCACAGAGCCCAGGTGGATATGGATACGGTGCCTCCACAGAAAAAGGTCACCAATATTTTCCTGTGTCTGAGAAGCAAAGAATTAAACTCTGTAACTTCAGTATTAAGATGCCTGCTTTGTCAACTGAGCCTACATTAAAAACTTACAGGAGTCCCAGGGAAAGGCCTTCAAAGAATAATATTCTGCCCCGACAACAGTTTTCTGGTAAAGCTGATGCAACACCTTTTGCGTAGCTCTATTGGTGTGAGTGGTGCTACTTTCCTGTTAAGAATCTCCTCAGAATGGCCTCAACACACATCATCTGAGTTTAGCCACACTTCACTCATTATTTTTTCCTACTGCCTGCGTATGTCTGGTGGATAARGTTAATTAGGGAGAGGGTTGCTCCAAAGCAAGGTGGTAAAGGCAGCCCCTACTGAAATCTGCCTTGCTTTTGGAGATTCTTTATTAAAGAAGGAATCCCAGAGAAGAGTCTGGCAGAAGGATACTCCCAGGAAACAGTTTGACTGACTGTGGTAATATGAAATGGAAATTAAAAAGTACCTGTGAAAAATTCTGTTCCAGTAAGTGAGTGGCAAAGATTCCCTTTGCTTTGGAAGGTACTTTAGCACAACTGGCTATTTTATAATAGTCAGATGTATTGACTGGTATTATGTTATCTGTATGGTACTAAGCTGTGGTTTGTCATTCTTTCTTTCTTCTTTTCTTCCAGGATGAAAAGAATCAAGTATTAACAACAAATATCTGGCTACAAATGGTAAGTTTTGAAACAACATATGTTTGCTTTTCCCCTTTGATTTTGGAGTTTAATCTGGTGAGGGCGTTGAATTTTAGAAAACTTTTAGGTCTGTAAAAACACGAGTTGACTCCTCTTTCCATGTTGGATTTCCTTTGCTGCCACTAGATATCACAGCAGAAAACTTTGCTCTCATTAACTCGTGGTGTCATGGTTTGAACTTGACCGAAAGCCAAAAAAGGCACCCACGACGTTCCCTCCCCRCCCCCCACYGGAGAGGCAGAAGGGAGAGCAAAAGCCCAATTAACACTAAAATTTATGGCTWTTAGATAAGATAACATAATTGAAAGATACATATATGCTCCAGAAAAATGGTCAGACAGGCTGAATAACTTAAGTTGCAAAATAGATTTATTACTAAAAACTACTAAAAAACTGTACTGGGGAGGGGAGCAGAGATAGGGAAAAATTTACAAGGAGAAGAAAATAAAAACGGACATTTTAAGACCCCTGTTATACTTTCTGGGAACCTGTCTCTCCAAGTTGCCCCTCCCCACCCCTCCATGCCTTCCCATGTGCAAGAGGGGCAGGGATGAAAATTTTAACATAAACATAGATCAAACTACTCATTACAGTTATCGTCCAGTACCATAGGAGAAGAGTCCTTACATCTCCGAGCTGTGGGAGTTCTTCTCCCAAGAAACAGTCAGTGTATAACTGCTGATGGCATGGGATGCTTTTTCTTTACCTCATGGGAGAAAGGGAAACAGTCCTCCAAGGCTGACTGCGTTATTTCGGTGGCGTAAGGCCACTGTCTCAAATGAATTCTCCTGGCAGAATACAGCTTCTTCTAAGCGTCAACTTGCTTCAGATGTGAGGGGGGTTGCCAAGCCTCTTCTCCCTTTTTGGCTTATGATCAGTCCAGTCCTCAAAGGCCATTTTTTTTTTTTTTTTTTTCTTGGATGCAGGGCCTCTCTTTTCTATACAGATATCCCRTTGAAGAAATTGTCCTTTCAAGAACAGCTCYATGTTGAGCACCACAGCAACAGTCACAGCACCTGTCTTCTTTTAACTTGTTACATCTCCTCACCCGTCTCCTCTGTCCTTCCCCTATACATGATACCAACAATCTAAAACTAAATGGCRGCYRCWCTCTATCTTATTTTGAATTCTTCTTAAGTACAAGACCAWACRTCATCACAGAGGTGYAACTGCCTGTGCAATTGGCCCAGGCCTGACCAGCAGCCTGTCCATCARCCTCAGAGCCACAATGGATTGGTTCTRAAACACAGGGGGMAGGGCTCCTTTTGCTGGAGAAGAAGGAGAAAGYTTCTAGAACTTTGTCACAGGAGCCATCTTTGTGGGWTTTTGGTCCCATCCCCCCACCACCAAAAACCGAACCGAGTAAAACCAGGACACATGGCCAGCATTGCTAGGCAGGAGCAAATTTGTACTCACTTTTTAATAAATGGAACACATAATAGATTGTTCAAGAACTTTGTGAGATAAATTGTTTTCTGTGAAAGGTTGTATTATGACTTAGAATTAACAAGTTGCTCCTTACCATGCTGACTCCTGTGAAGTCCTAATTTCTCCACAAACATTTCCCCCCTAAGTTTGTCTTAAGCTCTGCAAAGACATGGTTGTGGGGAGTTTTCTCCATCTATAGCAGCATGGGTGAGAATTTGCCATTTGTTGAATTCCCATCAGTACTACAGAAACGGAACTGTTTGGGTTAAGTAAAGGTTTACAGAAGATTTTTATTATTCCAGACAATCATACTACTTTTACAGTAACTCTATACCTTTCAGTTTTTTTACCAACTCATTCAGTTTAAATGCATTATTTTTTTATTTTATGGTAACAGTTTAGATAGAGGACCTCTCTTGCATTTTGATAGGCCTTAGGAAACACGTGAAAGATTGTTCTGATGACCTGTAAGGATAGCATGGCTATTCCATTTATATGCAAGGAAAATCTCACAAGGAAGAAGCACTCAACTCATGCTTTTTTACAGGCCTGTTGTACAGTAAGATAAAMATTGTCAAATATAATATGTTTTTGGCTTTTAGCTACAATGACTATAGTTGCTATGATTTCTTAGCAGGAAAAGAGACAACAATTCATACTCAAGAGGCTATAATTTATTTTTCTTCTCTTTTATCTCACAGCATCCTTATCCTTGATATGGTCTTTTTTTTTTCCCTAAGGAAATTTTTGATTATATTATACATGCTGTATTTACTTTGATTTATTCACCTTAGCACATACTGGATATGGAGGACGTTAAAAATGCAAGGAGCAGATCACCTGGTAACTACAAAAAATGCAGCCACTCTTCATGGCCTCTGTACACATAAAAATAAAAATGTTTGTGTATCAACTGTCTATTAATGGTGCACAGACAGATTCAAACCATGCTTAAGGCAAAGATATGTAATTTTATTATTCTAAATGATCTGAAATAAGTATTTCCCTGAAATCACTCTCCAATGCATTCCTTGATATATATGTGTGTATAATCAGCAATGTATCTTAAATATATTTTATGTAATTATGTAAATATGTAATCATYACCAAAATACTTAAATACAAAAAATAACCTGGGAGAAAGGGGAATAAAAATCTAGTATTTATACATGCAGACTATCTCATCTGACCACTATCTCCATGGCAATACTATTCAGCATAAAAAATCTTAAACTTGATCTAAGTTACAGCAGGAGCCTTGCCTGGTCACACAGATTAGTACTAACCCAAGCACCTTGAGCTCTTCGCTGGTTTAATCCAAATTAAAGGTGCTTCAGCTGCAGTAGCTCTAAAGTTCAAGCAAAATGAAGCAGCTCATGTCCTGCTGGACGCAGAGCTAACAGAGCAACCATAAAATCTGCTTACCATTATCTCGAACAGACTCGAATATTAAGTTTTCTATTGCCCTTGGAGTGTCTTTACGTCATTCAGCATCACCCTGCACTACAGGGTGGCCATGGTAACTCCTAATGTAAGATGGGATAGGAAATGATTTGATCTGTTGATATCCAGGATGCATTCAGCTGGCAAAGAACACAGCCTGCCAGCCCCAGCCCTGGTGCTGCAACTGCTCTGGCAGCTCCTGAGAATGGGTCACCCAAAGCCATGAGAGCCACAGCTTTCAATACCTCAAACCCACACAGCTTATTTGCTTACATTGCTGGCCTTTGTGAAAAACAGATGTATCCTGGGGTCTCAGGACTTCTACATTATACAAATATAAAATTGTAAAGACATACAGTGACATTTATCTACCAGGAAGTTAACATAAAACAGTTTACTGGGAAAATGCWTGTAAAATTTCTGAAAAAAAGGAGAAGCAGTTGATCAGCTGACAGAAGCTGTGTATAGATGACTATGAGCAACACTTGTATCTTAACTAGAGAACTGTGAAACTGAAWAACTATGAACAGAGCCAAATAATTAAAGACTTCCATTAAAAACTATTATCTATAAAGTAAAGGGATCAGATCTTTTGTCCAGTTTTGCTACAAACTCACAGTAAAAAATGAGATAAATATAGAAGCACAGTCCAAGAATCAGTATAGTAAAAACTTCACAAAAACTGCAGGATGAATGCTATTAGATGTGTTGAATGCATTAAAATGGTCATTTATACTGCTGGAAAGGTATGAGGATGTACAATACCTGTAGTGTGAGGCTAACAGGGGGCTTATTTGGTGTATCAAACCATACTTGCCTGTGACAGTAACACAAGGAATTACATAGACCRGTTTGATGTGAATACCCCATGAAAATGACCAATAACATTTACCTCCACAATACCCACTGGCAAGTTTTCCTGACCTTAATGTCTATCAAACATTTTGACAAGGACTTCTAGGCGGAACTGGTAAGTGTTGTACGTTTACTCACCCATTTAAAAGTTTATATTTAAGAAATTAACATTTGGCATTGCAACAGCTTGGCAAATCTGGACAAGTCTTCAGTGTAGGTTACCTGATGCCTACAGACAAGTGAAGTTAACATAAACAACCTACTATGGAGATAGAGAGAAATGCATTATAATGAAGCATAGATGTTACAAGAGAAAAYGTAAATTTAGTAAAATGAATTGAACTCTATTCATTATACCCTTGGTGCACAACAGGAACCAGCCTAGTACCATGACGAGTGATTTGCATAGTAAGGAGTGATGTACAACTTCAATTTCAGGCAAATWCAGCAGCTCAGGGTACAGTTTCCCTGGAGTGCAGGAGGTAAGCAGCTTGCTGGAGCTGCCACAGTGCTCAGCTGGCTGCAGGCTGGGGCTCTGCTCTTGTTTATGGCTGTGCATCACCATATGTTCCAATGGCAGAGAGTGGGATTTAGCAGTGCTGAGCTCAGATCAAAGCCCTGCCGGTGGGACTGTGACAGCCTGCCTGTGACAGCAGCCAGGACTGGGCTGAAAGAAGCACAGGCAGCCTCAGGGAAGTGTCAGCCAGGGAGAAAACTTGTGGGATCGAGCAGTGCTGTGTAGCAGCTGCCCCAGAAGCTGCCCAGTGCCAGGCCCCAGGAGCTGCCAAACCTATGCAGGCATTAACCTTGTGCCATCACAGACATCTTCTGTCAACACTGACTGCTGGCTGCCCCACTCTGCTACAACCTGAGAATTTTCAACAACTGAAAACGAAGCTGTCTATGAAGATAAAGATAATGGAAGTTGCTGTTTGAATTATAAAAGCAGTTCAATCCCAAACTGGCACCTGAGACAGGTAAACAATAAAACACAAACACCCCAAATCTCTTACAAGCTGTTAATGTGCACTGCAGTGTGAACTAAAAATGAGGGGTTTATGAGTTCCATTGAGTTTTAGGTGGCCCAATTCACCCTTTGCAAATATTTCTCTCCCTGAAGCTAAACAGTATCTCTTTAACGAGAGAACACATACTGTTCCAGCCCATCCAGTCCCTAGAAAACTAAAGTAAACCAGTGGATGAGAAGATCTAACTTACTTTTTGTGTGCATGGCTTTAGTACTGGACAGATCATTATCTACAGTGGAACGTGTCTGACTACCCTGGAGTGAAGAATGTCCGTTTTCCCGATGGACTGATTTGGAAGCCTGATATTCTACTCTATAACAGGTAGACACGCCGGGATTTTTTTTTTCCCTTTTTCTTTTCTTGTGTTTATGGGGATGAGAGAAGATCATAGAATTATAGAATCCCAAAATATCCCTGTCTGGAAGGACACCTTGAAATCTTAATTGCTCCAACCTTTCATGGGAAAGGGAGCCTAGATGAGGTTATCTAGCACCCTGTCCAAAAGCAAAGATAAAGCAAGGCAAATGACATAGTAATCTCATTAAAATGCTTAAATTTTAAAATACTTTTCCAAATCTTTATACGTTTTTGGAATACTGGAAAATTACCAGTCTCCTGTTCACAGCACAGAAGAACATATTTGCCAGTACTTTTTGAATAACAACATTGTCCCTACCACCAATTCTAATTGAGTGGCTTTTACGAGATTGTGTTTAATGGTATGGGTAGTGCTAATTTTCTCTGAATTTTTTTGGTTTGAATGGTTACTGTGAATTCAAATCTGATATTTGCCTGCTTGTCACGTTTTAGTTTGGGTTTCGCTACAGATAGGATAGTTAAATGTCAGGAAGGATCTTTGCATTTTTCCTTGTCCAGTTTTGGTATCACTTTCTTCCTGCTACAAAAATAGCTGGGCTATTTGCTGCTCTCCTCTTCAAACTAGGAGTTGGGCCTATTTCAGGGACAGACAGATTGCCATCAATCTACTGCAGAACCTTTGGCTGACATTGAGAGATTCTTTGGCTGTACTGCTCTATGGTAGCTCCCATTGTGAAATTTATTTAGTTCAAAATAGAAAACCTTGAGAGCTCCCTGCTCTTTAACAACTTGCCTTTCAGTGCAGTTGTTTGTTGTTCCCCAGGTACTGGACAGAACTTCATCTGCTCTGTACATGAAAAAGGGTACAYTGTTTTGTTGCCTGTGCAGATGACATGAACCTTTTGTCTCCCTGATGGCATTTTCCCCTCTCTTTCTCTGCCATATGTCTACTGAGAACATGCCCTGCTGTGTTTATCAACCTGATCCCCCTTCCCATTTCAGGAGCTGCTTTTTGTTGCTACAAGACCTAGAGAGAAGCTGTTCCCAATGTCAGCTGTGCTTTTGCTCCTGTTTGGCTTTTGGTGGCCACCTTTGTGTTCAGTGTTGCTGTTGATTGTACTAATGGGATAARAGCAGCCAGTGGCTGCAGTTTGCAGGCACTGGGGTCTCTCTGTGCAGGACCTGCATTGCAGCAGTGCTCCTTCCAGAGGTACAGCTAACACTGAGGGACTGSAGGTGAGCTCCAGGATGTTCACCATACTCACAATAACTGCCTGGCAAGGGTACTACTCACTACTGGTTTAAGTATGGCAAGCTGTCTGCAAACCAGCCTAAAAAAAAMCCCTTTCAAATGCTCTGTACACAAAATGGAGCAGCCTAATACCCGAAACAAGTATCTGTTTAAACATTAATCTTAATGTATTTTTCAATGCAAATTTGTTTCCTTGAGCAGTTATCCCTAGCTACCTTGATTCCATAAATGACAGTGTTCTTGGGAGAATCTGACAAATGACACCCTCATTYCCAGTGTCCTGATGAGTGACACACTGTGTATGCCATAAAATTGTGACTCTACARCAGCAGTTTAGCAGATTCCAAAAGAATGAGTTAGGACAATATTCTTCCTCATATACATCACATAAGTGAGAGAGACTTTCAATGTGCCTGATGATTTAGGCTTCAGTATTTAAGTAAGTCTGTCAAAAATGAAAGGGTAATATTTTAGAAATTAGTAATATTAATATATACATGCTGTCACTGGAGTGCTTTATAGAATGAGAAGGGTCACAATAACCTAAAAAACTGAAATCACTTTTTTTTTTTTTGTTAATACAGGTTTTCAAATCTTTGAATTAACTACGACTCAGTCATGAAACAAMTTTTCTGTAGTTTTTCTATTTAAAACATGTATTTAATAAAAAAAAATCTATGTAGAGTTTAGTCAGAGAGCAAAGCTATTTAAAACAAATCCTTATTCCTGTATGAAATTACATTGGGAATATTATGATGTTCCCTTMCAGTGACATGCCATTTCCAGATAGATGTTTTCAATTTCTGTGCTTCACTGGGGACATGCATCTGCAGTTACAGAGAAATTAATGAACTATAAATTCACTTTCCATTTTAATGAATGCATGTTTCACTATGTCTTGAGCCCTTACATATCTTGCTGCAGCCTAGTACAGAGAAATTATGGCAGCTGTATTAAATTTTACAACCAGTCTATTGTGGGGAAAGCAAGGCCAGTTCATCTCTAGTTTTTCTGAGGCAAGAAAATCTTGGCCTTTGTACAAATTCCAGGACTGACTCTRTAAGTGTCATGTATGACTATCTTCCACTTTTAACTACACTTACTAAAAGTGCTCATTTCTGGTGGAATTATTTTCCAAATGGACACACAATGTTCAGTAGTTCATGGAGTAACAAAAATTCTGGCAAGTACATCTAATTTTAACAGTTTCATTTTTCCAGTTTTATAAACCTGAGGTTAGGGATTCTATCTGCTAGGTACCGCTTTGTAATCTGAATGAACTTTGTCATCTCAATGTAATCGATATCTGCTTTTGAGTGGTTATACCTCAAAGAAGAAAAGCGGCAGAAATGTTTTTTTGTCATGACACTTTAGTCCAGTCTCTTCAAGCACAGGCTTAGCTACTTGGTGCATCCCCAATTGAAGCAGTGCATTTCAAAAAATGATCCAAAGCACAGCAAAGAAAAACATGTGCTCCTTTTTCAGAAAAAGRAAATAAATTATATTTTAATCTGAGTGCCACTGGATAGTCTTTTAAGAATGTGCCTATGAAAGGCAAAGTCATGTAGCAGTGAAATCAAGGCTCCTTGAACATTTGTGACTTGTGAAAATTTTATTTTTGCCAATTACCAGAAACAGCAGCATGGTCTTAGAAGCCAATCCCTGGTGTTTAAGTGCCCTCCACTGCAGGGCAAGAGAGCAGAACGTAGCCTAGGAGTCATTAATTTTCCCTTTATAATTAATYAGTGYGGCATGGATATTTTTACATCCTAAATYTGACTACTTATTTGAGTTCCATCACATAGCCCTTATTAGGTTCAAGTCAAAGCAATTATTTGTCTAATACAGAACCTCATTAGAGGACTTCAGGTCTGGTTTTGTAAGGARATGGCACTGGTGCACCTGTGAGCATGCACATCTGTGTGAATGTGTGTGTGTGATCTGCCTCTTTCCCCAATATCCTCTGAATCCATTTCTACCAAATTTGGCAGTGCAATCAGTAGAGATCTTTGCAGCACCAGTTTYTCACAAATGTCACAAAAACAGGCAGCCAAGATGCAGACAGAGAAGAAGCAGAGCTCCAAGTGGAAGAGGAGCTGCAGCACAAATGAGGAGAATCCATGAGCTGTGAACTGMTGGAATGGCCCACACTGGTTCAGTGACCTTAGAACAGAACTGCCTTTTCCCCTCAATCTGCTGCAACCAGGCATCACACATACAATACTGACACTTCTCTGCTTCTCTCAGAGTTCAAATTAAACACTTTCCAGTATTTTCAATACTTGTGAGCCTTCTGCTCACAGGAAAAAGGGCAACTTATAGATGGGCAAGTAATTCTTTGGACTTAGCTTTTTCTTGTCTGCATATTTCATGGACCAGCCCAGATATTTTTTAAAATCTAAGTTCTTCAAATACATAAGGGGGGAAAAAATGCAAATTAAAAAATACGAACTAAAAATGTCTAAAGTAACAGTTGCTTTATTTTAGCTTCTGAGAGATAAAATTTGTATCAGAATAGAACAAATATTAAAGTCCTCTTTTTAWAAAAGAATATTTCAATACGGAGTTTCCTGCTGAGAAACACCTTTTCATATATTTTTATTTTCTGCTTGAGTTATGAATATTTCACTTCATGCCCATCTCAGACTTTTACCCTATTTTTCCAATGATGTCTTAAAAGATGATTAGAAAATTATGAGATACTAAACCACTCATAGGCAAAGAGACATCAAAGACTTGTCTTGTTCCAATCAATCTAGAGACACACAGGTTTTAAAAGCCCAGATTGCTGCAAGAATCCAGACCCTGAGGTTTGTGTGACTTCTCTGCCCTGTCCAGCACAGGCATTTGCCTCACATGCCAACACACCCCACAAGGTGCAGGTTGGGGACTACGAACAGTAAAACAAATCCAGTAGCCTGTGTGCCACTGTGTTTCCCATATAGAGGTTAAATGTTAATGCCTAGTGAATTCCTGGGACACAGTGCCAGATGTAGTTGAGATATTCCTTGGTAGTGGCTGCCAATTCATGATGTGGAGTATTCTCCGAATGATATAATGATTCTTTTCTAGAGACTTGTAAGGACAGCACACCATGGCAGTCCTGGCCAGCACCTCTACCCTGACACCTCAAATTGGGNTTTTTTTTTTTTTTTTTTTTTTTTTGTCTGAACCCAGTGTGTGGGTTCTGAAGTGGATAACGAAGGCTGGAGCTGCACTAAAGAGTCTTGTGTATGACACAGTAATAATGTTCATCCATGCAAAGAGGTAGGAAGACACAGACACTGCAGTATCCATCTCCTCAGAATTCATTAGCTGTTGTTAACGTAGACAGCAAGAGAATGGATTTTCCTGTACAGTTGCTTGAGAAGTTTTTAAAAAGTGCTTACTTTCCAAATGGTAATCAATAGAGCCAAGGCACTATAATGAATCTAGTGGGCAGGTGAGCAGCAAGAATGAGGTTCTTATAGTTCTTAAGTTCTTAAGAAGCACTTGCAGCACTTACAGTTCTTAATCAGAAGCAAACCCAGAAGTATCAGGCCAGTTACTCTGAGGCCACAGAAAAGTGGTGACAGGAAAAGCTGTCAAGTTTTTGGGGTGACATAGTCCTTTTATGAAAATAGATTATTCTCAGACATTTTTCAGCCAGTCAAAGATCAAATAACCCATTTTGGTTTTCCCCTATTCTAGCGCTGATGAAAGATTTGATGCTACTTTTCACACTAATGTTTTAGTCAATTCTTCAGGACATTGCCAATACCTGCCACCAGGTAGGCTGTCTGCATGTCATAAATTTTGATAACTCAGATTACTTCTGTATAGCATGGTTTCAAATTTGCCTTAAATTTTCTTATATTTTATTTGTCTAGCTAGCATCATCTGGTAGATGTAAGCCTTGATGCATTATGGTTACATGGTCAACACCTTTGCATGAAAACCACCATACAAGATTTATGTTTTATTACAATTATGTAAATTCTTCTGTCATAATGCRAAAGTTCAGAAGTTTAGAAGTTCTTTATATAAAAAGATATTGTTTATTAAAGTCATGGTAATGCCTGAATGAATTTTTATTTCATTACTTTAGTGTTTCTTTTATTAACTTGCTAATTTTACAGTAAGATGCATAGTAACATCTTGGATGCATTTCTCTTAGAAATGATTCACTGAGTGCTTCATCAAAAGAATTTTTGGTCTGGATGTATAGCAGTGGAGCACACTTTCTGTTCCCCAACTCAATTGGCGTTATCATTAGAATTAACTCTTCCTAGTATCTGAATTTTGCAAATTACAGCAGTAGAGCTAWTGCTTTCCAGACAAATTAGGTTTTCTTCCTAAGATCTCCAAAAGATTTCAGGGGGCTGCCTCTTGATTTAAGATGTTACATTTGGTGAGGGTTTTTCAATTCAATTCTGAAAGCTGCTAAAGGGCAGGCTCTGACTCAACAAGTGAAAAATAAGAAGCTAGCTTTCCTGAGTAAATCAGGATAATATAAATCTAATAATAAAGCAAACAATATTTTAGGATTTCTTCCTTTAGTCAGTAAAAGAAATAGAAACAGATTACATAATCTGCTTCATTTCTTTCTGAAATACTGTATCTAGAAATCTGACACTTCTTCTAGAAGAGGAGACTCTAGAGTCTTCTCTGAATATTCTTCCACTATGTGCCAAAATGGAAGAGTAGCTTAAAAATAGTTAATAATATCAACACATTAATGATACAGTTCTTTCCCTTTTCTATGACTGACTTTTTCTCTTTAGATGTGAAGACATTACTGAGATTAAATATGCTTTACAAGTGAAAAACAGAAGGCATAATGTAGAACAAATTCTGCTTACAAAATGTACATAAAATTATGTGGAGCAAGCATTTAAATTAAGTGTTCTTGTTTRAAATCCCACCCAGGCATATTTAAAAGCTCATGCTACATAGATGTGCGCTGGTTTCCATTTGATGTTCAGAAATGTAACCTGAAGTTTGGATCCTGGACTTATGGAGGCTGGTCCCTGGACTTGCAAATGCAAGAAGCAGATATATCTGGCTATATTTCAAATGGAGAGTGGGATTTAGTAGGTAAGATCTTGATTTTCCTTATTACACTATCAACTTGCAGCCTTGTATCCACTGCTGAAATGGACAGAATAACAACTGGGGAATGAAGACAGAACTTAAATTAATAAATTACCTAGACAGTGGCATTTGAAACTCTTGAGAACAGATATGAGATGCATTAAAAAAAAGACAAATTTGCCACTTGAGTTATGTAAGTATCTTTTATCTGATTTTCCTTTATCATCTGAGAAAGAGTGGGAATTAAGCTTAAAGTAGTTTTACCTGTAGTAAAACTTGGAAAGCTACATTTATCCTTTTAAAAATAAACACTACATAGTATACAGCTTATTTAAATTGATTTCTGTTTTTTTTTCCTCTTTTCTCCYACACAGGAGTTCCTGGGAAGAGAACCGAGAGCTTTTATGAATGTTGTAAAGAGCCTTACCCAGATGTGACCTTCACAGTAACCATGAGACGCAGGACTCTTTACTACGGACTCAATCTCCTTATTCCTTGTGTACTGATATCAGCACTTGCTTTGTTGGTTTTCCTGCTTCCAGCAGACTCAGGAGAAAAGATCTCACTAGGTAAAGTATTAATAAGATATTGTAAATRTGACTAAACCAAAAAAAGTTGTTCTTTTAAAGCTTTTTTAAACAGCCTTAAGCAGGAAGAATAGCTTTGTGGGTCCTGTTCTGGCTCAGGAGCTATTTGTAGTGTTTGATGCTGAACCAATGGAGACACAAACAATTCCTGAGTACCYCCCTTAAGAAGCAGAGTATCATTTTTTGGTGTTTACCTGCTGAATCTCACATTCATTTGGTAAAACTTAAATTTACAAATATGCATTGGAACACTCTGCTAAATACTTCCTTCTAATATTGAGCTGTATTAAGAGCCTATGGTGCCTTCTCAGAAAGATTGAWTCTAATTGCTCCTGGTTTACTTTTTATAGTAAATTTTAACTTGCAAAACAATACTTAAGTTTGTGAAACAAATCTGATTTGAGTACTTGGTCTTTAAGATGGAGTTTAAAGATGTAAAGATTCAAATACGTAAAAATTTTGTCCCATAAAAAATTCAAACGAACTGACTTCTACTAAGTAAACATGGCTGTTTAAAGGTAGAACAAAACTAAGATTTCTCCAGAAAGAAATCAATTTTGATTGAGTAGTAGCCTCCCTAACCAAGTAGTCCCTCCACATATTTTAAGATGAATTCTTGTTCCTTAATCCTTCCCCATCTGACAATGACTCTTTATTGTTTAAGTCTASTCCTGAGAAAAGAGTTAAGCCTTTTTCTAGAAGGATGGGAACTCATCACTGAGCGACAGAAGTCAAATGCCAAAAATCAATGGTCAAGGCAGCTTGGGCATAAGCCCCTGCCAAACCCAACAGCTAATATCAAAGGTTACCAAAGTCCAAGGCAGCAGATCTGTTTTTCAGAAAATTTATATATTACACCACCTATAGCTTCCATGACAGTTAATCAAGAGTTACATGCTCAAATACACAAAATCACACCATGTTTCTCAAGCTAACACAGTTCAAGAATTTCTCTGATTTGCCTCAGCTAATCAGCAAATGATGATTAAAACTGAACAGGTACAAGGATGTAAAAATATCTATGTCTGTGCAAGCACTGGTACCAGTTTGAGAGTACTCCTACCCTGAACTTGAGGTAGTACAAGGAAGGACAGGAGTAGCACTAATGTGGTGGAGCAGGGATACAGGGSATTCCATCTTGCAAAGAGCACTCCTTCATTTGGTGTCTCTCCGTGTTGTAATTACAAGCAACTGATGTGATTTCATACTTTGTGCTTATCTTTCAGGTATAACAGTTTTATTGTCGCTCACTGTCTTCATGCTGCTTGTGGCTGAAATTATGCCAGCGACATCTGACTCAGTGCCCTTAATTGGTAAGCTTTTATTCACTTGGATTATTTTAGCAMACAAGGTGCAGTGACTGCACAAAGGCCAGCATTAAGGCAAATCACCAGCTGTACAATGGATGACTACAATTGAATTAGAAAACTATTGCCAATTGATGAGACGATCTGATCRGGGTCTCTGCTCTGAATGAAATAGAGAACCTATGTATATTTGGGGAAAGCATAAGGGAGACAAGCTCCCATGGAAAGAAGTTTTTGCAATTTTGACACAGTTGGCCAGATTGTGTTCTGTTTTTCTAATTCCAATTAGGAATGCAGAACTAAACTTAATTAAATCTTCCCACTGTAATTGTTCAAACAAAAAGAGAAACTTTTCAAAAGAAGTATTAGCCAATCTCTACAATAACACTGAAAGAAAATTAGAAGGCAACCTTTTTCAAGGTTTCTTAGAAAAGGCAGGTGCTTAGCTCCACAAAAACAATTGTTAAATGCTGGCTATCCCCTCAAAATAATGTCTGATCTTTCTGCTGTTGAGAAATTTTTCAAAAATACCTAATGCAGCACTACACTGGAAAAAAAACAAAATGCTATGAATACATATATAAACACCCCTCATTAAAGCTATATCAGCTATATATCAGTGTGTTTCTGTAATTATCTCTTTGTTTTGCAGCTCAGTATTTTGCCAGCACTATGATTATTGTTGGTCTTTCTGTTGTGGTCACTGTTATTGTTCTACAATACCACCATCATGATCCAGATGGCGGCAAAATGCCTAAATGGGTAAGGTTTGATTTTCCTTCACTGTGCATTGCATAAATGTCYAGCTCAGGGGTGGGATAAAGTAGCTAGTAGCCCATGATTACATCTTACTGTTAAAAACATATAGATTCTTCCCAGACACTTTGTTTGCAAAAACAGTTTCACCTCAAATGAGGTGTCCAGATACGTTTTGTGTGGTYGGTTTCTTAGAAAATGTGTGTGTGCAAGAGAGAATATACCTCCACTAGCTTCAAACAGCTACATGCAACTCAGAATTCTGTTAGAACTTAAATATATAAATGAAGGCGATTTTCAAACAAGCTCCAGGTGTTAGAAGTGAACCAGCTGGAAGAAAAGAGTTAGGTGCTGATGGAGATGATAAATGCATTAARCACACCACTCTCGAGGTGCAATGGTGCAGCTGCTACAAATTTAGCTGCTGTTCATACAGAAACTTCCATAGCCTAAAAAGCAATTGTTAAAGATRGCTGTTAAAGTGGAACTTACTCTGAAAATCCTGATCTTTATATCTCTGTTCAAGAGTATSTGTAAAGTGCAAAGAATGAAAGTTTTTTTTCTAAGCATATAAAAACTTTACTTTACTTAAACTGCCCTTCTRTGAGGGGTGGTTTTTGCAGAGAACATTATGCTGATATAAGATTACTACACACTGCTATCTTCAGATAACTGTCCCCTCCTTTGACTTCACCCAGCTCCTGGCAGCATTAGGCATTTGTGAAGATGGAAAGACCTTTCTCCTTTTTTCTCTCTAAAACAATGAGTTATTGTTATCCTTACTAACTGGAAAGAATGTGCATACAGCAGTGCCCTGAGGACAAGAGATAATGAGATATACCCTGGYCTGTTCTGGGGTAGTGACTTTAAAATAAATTTCAATGAAAAGAATAAAAAGTATATATATCTCTTTAGATGTGTGTTTGATGACCTGGAGGGGACAGTGTTTAGTACTGAGCCAAATGTCCTCAGAAAACAGCACTTGAGCTTGAGGTTGAGGAGTGAGCTGTAGTGTTGAGAAGCTGAATTCCAACAAACATTATTTGGACATGGGTGGATTTTGGATCAGGCCCTCAGTTAACAGAATATWATCCTTCTTGGTGAAGCTTGATAGTGTAAAGAAAGTAATAGGGCATGATCTGACTTGGGTTGGGCATGGATATAATATCTGCTCTGAGTAACAATTCACAGGCAGAATAAATGGACCAAATCTAATAAAAATTATAGTGTAAGATTTGTGTAAGATTACATGATACAATAAWATTTCATTAGAATGCCAAAAAAGAAATGTTGGAATGAGCTCTTAAATCTGATTTAAATAAACTACCAAAGCTTTCATTTGAAGCAGAACAGTCTCTGGCTTTTCTTCATTTTCTGTGAGGCTGGATTAAGGCAATGTAGAAAACAGTAAAATGATACACACAGATTAAATCTCTGAAGTTTTGGGGTTTTTTTTTTTAATTGAAGTGATTTTTCCATATTTCCTCCATGTTATATCCAGATCTTTTTTCTAAAATGTGCAATCAACAGTTGTGAACACAATATGAGAACAGAACCATAACATTTTAAAGCTTGATGGTCCAGTCCAGTGCAAAATCTGTTTCAGCATCCCCGTCCAAACAGTAATGGCAGGTGAATTTAATATTAGAGCACAAATAAGAGTAAAAGAATTGTAACKTTATTGACTACCATCGAAATCAGTGCTATAAAGACTATTAAAAAGCAACACGTCTTGGTTTGGTTTGGTTATGTTTAACCCATGGTTTCTAGTAAAGGTGAAAGAGCCTGCCATGTCACTGTTCAAGTGTCAGGAAGAATTAACCCTATGGACACTCCCACCAGAGGAGTGGGCAGTTCCAGAACTGATAGCCTGAGGCAATCAACATCACTTCTAGAATAAGAAAACAACCTCAGTTATTGGTAAATTAGTCAGCTGAAAAACTCTGACACCATTTTGTAGAGCTGCATGCAGGCTAAACAGAGACCAGACAGTCACCCAGGCTGCTTTGAATACCAGCAACACCCAAAAACAGTGACTGTGTGAAGAGATGCTTATTCTCAAAAATTTCCTTTCAGACAAGAATTATCCTTCTGAACTGGTGTGCCTGGTTTCTGAGGATGAAGAGACCGGGGGARGAAAAAGTGCGTCCTGCCTGTCAGCACAAACAGCGCCGCTGCAGCCTGTCCAGTGTGGAGATGAACACTGTGAGTGGACAGCAATCCAGCAATGGCAACATGCTCTACATTGGCTTCAGGGGGCTGGAAGGGGTTCACTGCACRCCCACCACCGATTCGGGGGTGATCTGTGGGAGGATGACCTGCTCCCCAACAGATGAAGAAAACCTGCTGCACAGTGGCCACCCCTCTGAAGGTGACCCAGATCTGGCTAAGATTTTGGAAGAGGTCAGGTACATTGCRAACCGATTCAGAGACCAGGACGAAGAGGAAGCCATTTGCAATGAATGGAAGTTTGCTGCTTCTGTGGTGGATCGGCTCTGCTTGATGGCCTTTTCCATCTTCACAATCATCTGTACAATTGGTATTTTAATGTCAGCACCAAACTTTGTAGAGGCTGTGTCTAAAGATTTTGCTTAACTCCTAACTAAAACCTGCTTCTCTGAATGGTATGTAGCAAATAAGAATGTGGGGTCTTTTGATGCTTGTTTTAATGAGTATAATGCTTCTCATTGTCTGCTTTCTTTTGCCCCCCTCTCTGGCCCYGAGTTCCTTTTGGAAGAGTGGCACCATTTCAGAAGAGAAGCCAAGGGTTTCTCTCTGCTTTGTGTCTGTGCAGCCCCTCTGAGCACTCTTTTGTGGAAAATGCCAAGTGGCTTTACATTCAGAATGACGRTGTGCTGAACCACCATCTCTTACACGTTTGAACTGGCTAATACAAAGCAAGTGGTAAGCAATGCCAGAAATGTCACTTCTTCCAGACTCTGTTTTGAAGGATAATGTAGTCCATCTTAGCTATTTGAATGAGTGGTTATAAACATATTTAGGAGAGGATTAAATCCAAGCGGCTGCTCAAACAGCAGAGAGAATAGGGAGAAATGCCATACATAGCTCTTCAGCTCCTTGCTCACATCCAGTCAGTGTGTAACTCCCTCCATGCAATTTGCACACAACATACACCACTTTCAGAATTATGAATTTGTCTGAGACACCAGAAACCTGGMAGTTCAGAGGACACACCAAGTAACTTGTCCTTCCATATCTTTCTGGATTTGACCTAGAAATTTGGCTTGGATTTTTAAACAGGCTTCACAGTAATTTTAGCTGTATTTAYTACTTCTTCCTTCTCTCCAGAAAAGATCTTTCAACCGAAAACCATTTTAACTTTCAAAAAGAAAAATTATTGATTCAAGATGCCTTCACCATCACTTGTTTAAAAAACTCAGCCCCCATGCTTGTCTCTTTACTGTTAACTGGTTTCCAGTGTGCAAAAAGTAACTCAATGTCTTGTATAGGCTTAAGCATAAATGAAGAATCTAAAGCAAAAAAAGCCATTAAATACTGAGATCAAGATTTTCATATAAAAGTCATCAGTTGTTGCTTAGCCTTTTATAGAACTCCTTCTGTTGAGTCACCGTAACATTGTCTTTACAAGAAAACTGCACCTTTTCTGCTCAGTCTATCAGATGAGTACTAATGAATAATAAAGCTYCTTGATTCTGACATAAAGTATTAACTGTATAAATATATATTTATATATACACACTGCAGATACATCCAGAGAAAGGTAAAAAATACAAATTCTCCTAAGTCTAGACACATTTTGCAAAGGCAAAACTTGTAGTTCATAACTTTATGTTATTTTTGATTCTGAAATTCTCTTGTAAAATGTGCCAAGTTTTGATGTGACTCTGATGTCTTAATGAAAAGGGTTGAGCTGAGAGTAGAGGACCTGAAACTTTGTGTGTACAAACAGGCTGAGAATTAATCCCTTGCTGGCACAACGGTATCCTAAGCAGTGCTAGAAATGGTAAAAGATGTGGGAGAGGATTATTTTAGCACAGGCTGCTTCCTTTCTCCTAGACAATCCAAATTTTTTGGCTGAGATCTGCAGAGACACAGAGGCCTGTTGTTGTACCATGTTTTTACTGTGAAATAAACTCAAGGCCTCAGTTTATCTTTTAAGATKAATAAAAATAAAGTGGCTGAAATACTTATCCTCCCTAACTAAAAATTCCCTTTTCAGAGTCTGCTCCCTTTAAAGCAGGAGAATCAAATTTCATGTAAAGCAAGCCCAGAGTCACTCCAGGTATCATTCTTCACCTGATTGAATACCTTGTACAAGCACCTTTGTGCCTGAGATAGGGCAAAAAGAATGAAAGGAAGGYGGGATATTTCTCAGTTTGTGAGTTCTGTCTTCCTAAAGGTGCATTAAGAATCTGAAACTGCAAAGTTAGAAGCAAAACATTCAAAACATTGTAAGTTCATCCAGAAACCGTGTGTCAGAATTACTTGTAAAGTTATGTTTTCAGGAACAATTATTAAGAATAAGCCATGTAATAATTCCTGCAAATAGTTTTTAGTTTATAGATTGCATATGAATGGGAAACTAGGAGTGCAAACTCTGAAATGTGAGCTTTGTTCATTTGTGAATAAYTGCACATATCACGTGGCACGTGCTCCTCTTCTGGGTAATGTTTCTAGACTAGGCTTCCTGATGACAATGTTGGTTTGCACTGGGTTTTTTATTTTTTTTTTTTCCTGCTGCAAGTACCCCTAAATAGCTATGTAGWGTGTTCCATTTAGACTTTGTAAAGTTGTGGGATCTCTTGGAGAACAGTTTTTCAAAGAAAAGTGAAAACTTATGAGGACTACCTTGCACAATGYGACACAACTATCACAATCATAGTACATGATGCATGTGATATAGGAAGCATGAATGTCCCCCTCTTTCCACCCAAATCATTTACAGTATCTGTAGAAATTATCTTTCTAAATACAGGAGGATGGACAAACAAGTTACAATTTGACAGTAAACTTCCTTTTCAGTGACAAACATGCGTACCCTAAAAAACTGGAGAGTTGGCCTTTTGTGAAGTGCTGCCAAAGTCTGTCCCCGTGAGCTGGAAACTCTGGCAGAGAGCTGCAGTGCTGAGGAAGGGGCTGTGAGACACCAGCATTCTGCCATCACTGCCTTTAYTGTTGGCAGGAGCAAGGACAGTGCAGCAAGGGGACAAGGGAACCCTCATTTTCCTACTGCTGACACAACCTGTAAACATTTGGTAGTAAGTTCATTATATATTTTAAATATAAGAGTGACTCCTCTATTATGCTATTTGGCACCTATGAGCTAAATTTTCCTGTAACTGAGCTGAGCAAAATCGGTATGGTTCTTGTCAACTTGTGTGTGTCTTAAATATATTTGTGTATAAGCTAAACAATATTTTGATCTAAATGCTGTGAAAAAAAAAATATTTATTTAAAATTCTGGGCATAGAGATGGAAATTAAATACTGTGTACAGTATGTGTATATAATATTAAAGACTACATATTGATGGTAAAGATCTGTTATAATCTTAAGAGTCYAGCGAGAGGATAAGAAGTGGTTCACAACTAAACTATGACTTGCCTGACAAATTCAAAAGCTCACTCTAGAGCTCAGGTGTCATGTACAATACTATATGTGAACAATGTATATTACTTTTTTCTGTTTTTATATTGAATTGTATTGAATATTTTAAAAAACTTTTTAATATTAAAAAACCTTTATTTARGTGTTAATGCCAAAAATGTTCCAAACATAAAATTTTAAAAAGTTAGTTTTAAATACAGATAAATTATTTAAAAAGTATTTAAAATATTAAATTATTTTATATAGGAATCGATAATACTATGTAAGGATTTTTTAAAGATTTCTTTAAATTCTCTTTACATTCTGTAGCTGCAGGATGTAGTCTCAGTTAACCTGTGACAATTCAGCTCTTCACCTTCTTTAACAAGACAAGAAGGTAAGCCAAAGCCCCAGATTTTCTTTCCTTTGTTTTTCTCTTGTTTACATTAAGAAACATTGCATTGAGGGCATTAGAAAGAGATGTTTCATCTGTCAGGTACTGATTGTCATATAAGCAACCCAATACCTTTTCAGTCCAGTACAAATAAAATATTTAGATCAAGAGACTTTTGATTCTTTTTCATTTTGCTAAGATGGAAACAAACTCAAGTGGTAGAAAAGATAAAAAGCCRTAAAAGGAAGAGAGATATATTTGGATCTATCAATCTGGGATGACAGAGTACTTTGATAATTAAATATACATTCATATCCTCCTGCAAACCAGTCCCACACCAAACATATTACTTCAGTCTTACATAAGCAATCAAAGTTAACTGAGTAGGACTGAAATACCATGTAAATTTTGGAMTGGCCTCAGTGCCAGTATTAATTTACTTTTTGAAGTTTAACACAGAAGAGAGAAAAACAAATCCATACCAGCTGAATAAATTGTTGCTTGTGCCAGCTGCAAAGTTTGTTTGTTGGCTACTGGTGAAAAAAYATCTAATCAGCAGCATATCCCTCAGATGAAAAAGGATGTGTCAGTGTAGTTTTTTGCAAAGAGATGAGTTGTCCTGCCCACATGCTGAAAAAGATTCCTATCTTTACAACACCCTGCAGAGCATGTGCCAYAAGTAGAAAATTAAGGGTTGTGGAACCCAAGACTTTGTTCTCTTCATGCTTCCCTAAGTAAGGACCAGCTGATGAAGACCAGTTTGGTCCAGGCCACCACACAAATCAYACAAGCAGGTGGCTCTTACTGAACCCAGTCTGTCCTAGGGGAAGAGCTGCCACGGTCAGTCTCTGTGAGGGATACTCAAGTGAGGCTCGTGCTGATGCTTCTCCCTCTGCCAATATGCTCTGCCCTTCTCAGAGCAGGACAGTCTATGTCAGACTTACTGTTAGACTTCACCCAGTCCAACAGGGTCAGCTTAACATGCASCAGGCAGTTCCTGGCACTGAGTATGGACCCACCATCACACACACTCCATCTCAGAAGCCTCTGTGAGTGGGGATTAAAAACAGACCATTGTGTGCTCCTGCTCTGGGGCGTCTGGTGGTTTACCCTGAGAGCTGCTGTGGTTTAGGAGCTCATTCATGAGCAGACCCAATTCCATTGCTCTGTGGGTGGCAATGCCCATCAGAGCACTTGTGCCTATGGAAATTAACAGTAACAGCCATCCAACTTTCATCCTCAATGTATCAGGAAGTATTTTACCTCAGGAATACTTATTTCTATACCTAACCTCATATTAAAATATCAGTAAATCTTAAAAGGCTGTGAACAAAATCTGCACATTACAACAAATCTAACCTGGTAATCAAAAAGCATCTCAACATCAATACAACCATAAATGAAAGCCTTCCACTGTGACCGTTTTTTTTTTTTTTTTTTAACATTGCTTCTGCTGCTTAAGAGAAAACCTTAGCATTTATGTAACATTTATTTATGTTATTAAGCAATTTGCAGATGATGGCATATAGAGAGAATAAACAACAATCTCTCACACCCCAATGAACACATTCAAAACTGCAATTTATTCACAGAACGTTAAAGTATTCAGATTTGAAGCTTAGCATCAGTGCCTTAAAGGTATCACTAATAAATCACTGGGCTTTCAGAGCTGCAGTGACTTGTCCCTGTAATGGTGCTATTCAGGAATAACAGTTTAAACTTCCAAGTAATTTGAGCTATCTACTTATTTTTACCTTTTAAAACTCGCCAAAAAACCAAAACCCAGTAGAAATTCAACAATGCTACTCTGGAAAATGTGTACATGAGAATAACATCCATAGAGGGTTTCCTKTTAGCTAAACAATTAAGGCTATAACTCAATGCCTCAGTGCCTACATAAGGCAGAGAAATCTTTCTACTGAGCCTGAAATTCTGGTATCAAGACCATATTCAATCCAACAAACCTCACAGTTATCACTTATGTATTAGTCTGGTTCATGGTAGGTATGCAAATGAAGAAGCCAAATATTAAATATTTATATTAAATTGCTTCTACACTAAAGAAAAAAAGTCTGCACCCAGAGCAAGATAATATTGTCTTAGGGATGTTGTACATATATCTCTCAGTGTACATRTATTGCATACAGCTGTGAAATATTGCAATGATAAWTTTTTTTCCTACAGAAGAATTCTGCTTTGAGATTTCTGTTGCTAATGTTGTTGATTTCTGTTCTGTGTAAGTCTGTGCTTTTTTCTTAACACGATCAGAGACTGCCTTAAACTGGACTAAGCTGAAACCAGGTTGATGATAAAGACAGTGGTTGCAGCTCTCTCTTTGCTAACCACTTTTAAAACCTATAGAAGTTTATATGCTGCATCTTGCTCTGCAGCCTGTTTGCAGTTAACAAAGTGATAACATCGCTTAATGATACTTTACACTTTTACACTGCCCCTATTGCTTATAATTGAATGGATCTTGCAGTGAAGAATTAGAAACAAAGACAAAAAGCCAAGTACCTCTTAAAATAAGCTGTGAAAGAGAAAAAGGCATATGAAGGACTGGCAGAGGGTGAGTGGAGGCAGGGTCGGAATTATCATCCACAGAGAGCTGTGATATGTCATCAGTACCACACCTGCCCTCCAAAGCCCAGAAAGCCACCAGAGTCTCTTTGAGCAGTAGCAGCTGAACAAYAGCCTGAGCTGTTTGTGCCAAATGGGGGTGAGAGGGGGCAGCTCCACACTGCCTGGGGACACACCAGTCACAGATGGCCAGGCTTCAGTCTGGGTCTCTAACATACCTGTGCCTCATTTGTGACGACTGCCCTTGTTTTGATAACACACATAGGCACAGGTCTAGAGC